TGGAAACATTATCTGTATACATAAAAAACTTAGTAGTTATGTATTATTAGTATAATATTTGACATTATCAATCAATCATAGATCATTATAAATATGTTATTTAAAAAAGTTATTATAAAAATTAACATATCTATTATTAATATTAAATTATTAATAAGAACGTACTTTCAAAAATAAATATTATTTTTAACTTTTTAAAATATATTATCTTTTGAATTCATTACTTTCATTTTTTATTTTTAAACTAAAATTTAATACTTTTAAAAATAAAGTTGTTATTATAAATAGGAAATATAGTCATATATTCAAGTATATTTATTTATTTATTATGAATTTTAATAAAATTATTTATTTACTACTGATATTTAATATTAATTATATAAAACAATGTTGATGCTGTGTTTTGTATATAACCTAAAATGCGAGAATAATAATTTATATTTAAAACTATTTATTTTATATACCACCTTTTTTTCCTTTTACTATTTACCATTTTGTTTGAGTAAGGAGTGTGAGGAATACTAATGTAGTAGTTATAAACGGTGTTCTCCTTCTTCTACCTGTTTGTATTTTAGGCTCTAAATCTAAAACAAACGCGCAGTGCAGCGACCCGCGACTCTTGTGTTTCAAAACCCTCACGTCACTCACAGTATTCTCTCCCACCATGAAGCTCGTCAGGTCTCACCTCTTCATTCTCATTCTCATTTCGCCTATTCTTTTTATATCTCTCATTTTTTCATTTATTCAATTTGATGCTAAAATGCGTGTAAAACTTGAACAGGTTTCTCATGAAGCTGAACAACGAAACTGTATCGATCGAGCTTAAGAACGGCACTGTTGTTCACGGCACCATTACAGGTACCCTTCCGCTCTTTCCGAATGGTTTCCCTCTTCACCGCCTGATTTTGTTGCTGCCTTCGTTAAACCCTAGTTTTGCTTTGCGCTTAAACTTGTGTGTTAAAATTTAGCATTAATTCTTTCAGTATTGGATATTAGTTGCGAATGGAATGCTGCAGGGATGCTCGCTTGTTTACTCAATTCCTAGACCTAATGCAAATTTAATCTGCGTTCTGTAATCGTTACCCTGGATTTTCAATTTTTTTTTTGTCTGTATTTTGGGAATTAGATTGTAATTTTTTTTCATGTGCATAGCATTCAAATGACGCTGTTTCACATGCCTAAACTTTGTGCTGAGAGGATTTCATTGATGTCATTCTGTTATTGTCGAAAAAAAGTGAAGCAGAGGCAGTTTGGATCTCTGTAAATACATTACCCATTCTTTTGATAGGTTAGATAGCATGTGGGCATTCCACAGTAAATCCTGTAATTATGCTTGCGATACAATTTGAGAACCACCCACGCTCTTTCTCTTATGTAGAAGACCAGTGCTCTATACAATATATCAATGTAAACTACAGAGATTCTGATAGTTAGGTTGATCAATTTCAATAAATTCTGTTATCAAGTGTGTGTTGCTAAGGTAGGTTTATCATAATGGACAATCTCTTGTCCCTAGAAAAAAAAAATCGTAATCATGTATTACTTGCAATTTGCAAAGAATTAGAGGCGATGCTAAAACTAAGATCCATTTTTTCACTTACGTTAAAACTTTTTTCAGTTTCAGTTAGATTTTAACAGTTGGCGTATGTTTGTGATTCCTTTGTTAACATGTGCATGTCTTGTCAAAGTGGATAGCTAGTTACCCTGTCATTATCCAAGAGTCAATAAGATGGGAACTCTGTCATCAGCCGGATAGGTTACAACTTACTGCATTGATAATATGATCAGGAATTTTTAAGTTTGAAATCTGCCACTGTTTTATCACAAATTGCTGTAGGACATACCATTTTTTGGTGGTCTGCTGTGGCTTTTTCCTGAATTGACAAGATAGGGAGATTGAACAGCTTTCTTGCATTCGTGATTTTTCTTCATTTTCAAATTGTTCTTTTTACTGTTACACCGGATGTTATGAATGTTTTTTTTTTCTTGTCTTTTCCTGTAATTTCTTGTCCTCTGAGAAGCTCAAACACTTCTAGATGGTAGCTGTGTCATGTTGTAACCACATTGGATATTTTTCCAAGTTGGGTACATGCAGACACTTTCAATACCTTTATTTGCATTTTTATAATTTTTCTACTTTATAAATTTTTTTATGCCAATATTTTTTAAATAAAACATTCAGTAGACAATTGTTAACATTATACACCATCTATAGTGACCCATTCTCATTTTTAAAATATAAATTCTCACTTTCAATTTAAAATCTATGTTAAATACGATGAAAGTTGTGATGAAAGTTGTGAGCTGTGTTCGTGGGAGTTATTGTCTATTGTTAGCCTCTATGGTAGAATCAGTTTGGCCTAAGACAAAGTGGTTTTTCCTGTGGTGGATTTCAAGTAATTTATACGTTGTATTATATATCCACGGTGTGTCCTATAATTTTAAAATTGGACATATCTGTGTCCGACCATCTTTTCTCCTTTATAAATTTCATCAAAGTATCTGATGTACAAATAGTAATTACTGTTTAAGTTTAAACTTAAACTTGGAACAGTAGGAAGATATCTGTTGCTTATGACATTTTTGGAAGAAGCATCTTAACCTATGGAGTCTGGATACCCCACTTTTGAGGCAGATCTATTAAAACTGTGTTTATATGGTACTATGACAGTAATCAACCTCGTAGCCTCTGGAATAAGTTTGCTTAATGCTGTAATTTAGAGTAGCTATATTACTTACGTCTGCTGAGGCCTGTCCTTTATTCTTAATCCATTATATGATTAGCATCTCCTTTATATCTTACCTATGCTAAATTTAGCCGAAATATACCGTTCTTCTCACTGGTTTCAATTAAATTTAGACCCCCTGCAGTTTGTTATATGAAATTTTCTTCTGACTTTAGGTTGGCTTAGTCACACACACACATATATAGAAAACTTAATATAAATTATATCACTCACATCTGTTGTCTTTAGTTTGTCTTCAATTTTAGAATGTCTTTGGTGCAGGTGTGTGACCCTTACCTTCGGTGAATAGTAACCAACACAATAAGTCAAAACGACTTTTTTACACCTGTTTTTATGATGAGATGAAATAAGATATGTTTTATGAGGATAGTGAATCCTTGTATTTACCACTTGTTGTCCTAACACAATCAAATTAAGCATTAAGGAATTTCGTTTTCTTTACTGATGAGTATATATCTTCTTATTTCTAACAAAGAGTTTATGTTTTTTAATTTTAACTCTTATTTGGGATGGCATGAGAAGTTTTTTATAGCTTTAGTTGTACTTACCCATGGATTTGTTAATGTATTACAGGTGTTGATATCAGTATGAATACACATTTGAAAACAGTTAAACTAACTCTGAAAGGGAAAAACCCAGTTACTTTGGATCATCTCAGTGTGAGAGGCAACAACATTCGTTATTATATCCTTCCTGACAGCTTGAATCTTGAGACTTTGCTGGTTGAAGAGGCTCCAAGGATCAAGCCTAAGAAGCCAACTGCTGGTACTGTATATTATTTCACTGTCGCTAGAATTAGACTGTTTTTTCAGTGGCCCATTTTGTCCTGGTTGACTGTTATCTTTGGATTTCTGGTTTTCAAAGTTTTGATTTTACTTGTAGGGAAGCCTTTGGGGCGAGGTCGGGGGAGAGGCAGAGGGCGTGGCCGTGGTCGTGGGCGTTAAACTGCAAATTACAGAATTTGTGGCATTTGGTTGTACCTTTATTGTAAGGAAATTTTCTGATAAGTTTTACAGACGTTGTAGTTGACCTGTTGTTAAGTTAGTAGTCATGCAGACTTTGTTCACGTTGCCATTTTCTTGCATCAATGCTTTGAAGTTCCCGTGTATAATTCTCCTGTTGGATAATTGTCATGTTTCAACTGAAAGAATCTGCCTCTATATGTGTAGTTTTATGGAACAAGGTGAAGCAATAGAAGTTACCGATGATAGCCGTTGTTCGTAGCGGTGGTTTTTGTGTTAATTGAAAGACTTTACGCATATAGGATATTAAACTTGAGTCCCTTCTAAGAGGGAGAGAGAAAATCATCAAGTTACTGTTAGATCTGATTTTACAGATATTATTTCTACGTTAATGTAATATCTGCTAAAGTTTTAGTGTGTTTGGATTGTCAACTGTCCACATTTTATCAAATTTTCACGTCAAAACGCACCAAAAGCAACTAATGTTGCTTGAAGGTTACGTGTTTTGAGGTGTGTGATGAGAATCCATATACACTGAAATATTTAAAAGCTAAAACTAGATTTATTTCATATATGTAGTTAGATTACTATTCAATTTGTTTAATTTTAAGATTTACAATAGCTTAATTAGTCTTGATTTTCATATGGGCACAAACGAGTTTTATTACACGTATATTCATATTTTGTGTAGCTCAGTTTTTTTTTATACATTAATTTTTAATAGAATTTAGATGATTATTAGATAATATTAATTAAGAAATGAACCTTGAATTTTAAGTCTACATATAAGATTATTTATGTTATACATAATTTTAGATAGTATAAGTAATTTTGTTTTTGAAACTTATATAGAGAAATTCTCTTTAAAAAATTTTAAAAATTTGATTTTTATTTTTTAATGAGTTTTCTTTGAAATATTAATGAGATAGAGATATTTTTTTCATATTTAATCTTCGATCATGTTTTCTATTTATTTTTATTTGATTGGTACAAATTATAAAAATTTACTCGTAAATATATTTTAATATTAAATCCTTATCAATTTTCACATTAGCTTTACGATGATAAGTATTTGAAAATAAATAATGTCATCATATATGGGAGTTTAGGGATGAAATATACATGAAAGTATTTTCAATTGCATGTGACGTATCAAAACAACATATTAGAAAGTCTTCTAAACTTAATTAGAATCTCCTCGTTGTATAAAGAATATTAGTGGAAAAACCGATTGAGTATGATTTTACCCTTGTAAGAAGAGGTGGAGAGAAAATAAGAACATCAAAAGAAAATGGTAGAGGAGATGTTGGGGTAATTATATCTTTAAAATATAATCAGGTTACATAAAAGTTTAATAAATAATTGAGTTCAATAATAATTTTAAATAAGTTAACAATATCTTTCAATGATTTTTTTATTATTTGTTAAAAATTAGTAAAAGCATAATTTTTTGAATTTCATATTTTCTTTATTGATCCTCTCTTTTGTTAATATTACTAACGCACGCTTTTTCGTAATACTATCTATGCAATTAACTTTATTAAGGTAAAATTATTATTGTTAACCTCATGAATATTTTTTTCTCTATCATCTAGTTATGATATATAAAACTATTAATTTTCATAATAATTTATTGAAAATGTCATTTATTAATTAACTTATAAGAATATTACATTTAAAATAAAAATTATATTATATTATGTTTATTAATAATGATAATAAAAAACAGCCATTATCGGATATGAAGTTATAATATTTTACGTAAAGAAAACAGTTAAAAAATAATTACTATACAATTATGATAGTAGAGGTAAAATTAAAAAAAAAATCAAAACAGTAAAAAAGAATACATTTTTATTATGTAATGAAAATAATAATAACTATAAAGAAATAGTTAAAAAATAATTACAATAAAATAAAGTGTATACTAAAATACAAATAAAAAATATATTAGTATGGACCGCTGGAAATGGTTGTTACGTGTGAAGGAAAGAAGGAAGAAGTGGCAAGTGGTGAAGGCTAAAGTTGTCCGAACTTGTCTGTAGTGCAGAAGAAGCTAAGGTGTTGAAAATTGTGGTGGTGGGTAAACAGTGGGAGCACGCAATCTTGCATATAAGCATCAAGAGGAGAGAGAGGTGGGGGAATATTATCAGAATCTGTGGCAGTATCAGGATGGGGAAGGCAAAAGAAGCGGTGGTGGTTGCTGGAGCCCTAGCATTTGCGTGGCTAGCTATAGAGCTCGCTCTCAAACCCTTCCTCACCAAGGCACGTGCCTCCGTCGACAACTCCGACCCCGCTCGTGACCCCGACGACGTTTCCCTCCCTGCTGCTCCTAAACCCACCGACGACCTCCCTGACGCTTCTGATTCTCAAACCGCCTCCGACGAAGCCTCTGACGCCTGAACCTTTCCCATTCATGTATTTTCAATTTCGTCACATCTCTAAATTCTCCAAATGAAGTAACATCTTTCCCTTCTGTTCAATTTGTATATTGTGTTTGTTTTGTTGTAGGCTCCACAAAAATACCTGGTTGTTCTCTTCCCTTTCTCGTCGGATATAAACAACGGAAATTGGTATTTTCGTATTTCCCGTTTTAGCTTCTTCAATCATCTTATGCCTGTTTGTAGTTGTTCTAAGGACACTAGGATGTACTACCACCCTAAACGCTATTTTATTTTTTATGTTTATTTTTTAGTGAATGTGAATGCTACAGTGTAGGAGAAGGGATGATAGACAGTGTTTGTTGAAATGCTTGAATGAAACAAATCTCACCGTAATAACTTCAAGATTTTGAAATTATTTGAAAAAGAACACAACAATTTATTCCTAAAACTAAAAGTCAGAGAAATTCTTAGATAAAACATTCATAAATTAATTTTAGTTTACAAAGAAACTTGGTTTGCTTTTTCTTTTTATCTACTCTTTTAGAAATGTTTATAGAATATGATCAAACATGTCATCACTTGGTGAGGCACAATTCTGTCGTTATTATTTGTTTTTTATCCCTTGTTGTGACTTGAGAGCTCACAATAGTTATGATTTGTTCAGCGAAAATTGTGAGCTCTTTAAACTGGGATGTTTGTCACATTTCCAGGGAATGGAACACTTGCACACATCACCATTTTTGTCCTAACAAGTTTAGGTGGATTGAATCCAAAGTCTTCACCCAAGGTGAAAATTGTCTTCCAATCTCTACGTATGAGCATATACTTTGGGATACAGTTACACGCGTCATATAGCTAGTCAAATATTGTTAATATTTTATTGACAACTTTTGTATTTAGAGATAATATAGGCCAATTCTCTGCCTGGTTGTACCTTGATACCTTATGACGCTGGGTTGGAAAGATTCAAATTCTCAAATTTCTAAAGCCTACACCACCTTTGTCTCAAAGTGAGCAAATCTTGTCTTGTGTGTGTTAAAAGATGATTTCTTCTTCGTCACTGGTAGAACCCCAGATAAAACCTCTGCACGATTTTTCTTTTTTGTCACATATTTCTCACAGTAATCAAAAAAGTTGCACGACATAATCGGGCATACTCAACACAGATATATGATTAGACCAACATGACCCATCTTGCTAAGGTAGGTGGCTGCCGTCTAACATGACAGCATACTTGAAACTTTCTCGACCAGAACTAACGCTCACTAAATGCATACCTGAGGCTTATAGAAAATAGCAGAATGTATTGAGTTAATTGCACTTTTAGATCTTATATTTTACGACATGATTTGTTTGGACAAACCTTTTTTTCCCATGAATATGGTTAATCAGAGTTATAAGATTTTACCTTAAACTAATCCGACTCAACTACAGTAAGTAAAATAAAATCTGATCAATAATTATTTTTGCCAATAATTGAATTATTTGATGTTAGGTGTTAACTACTTGTGTGTATAAGAAGATTTTTCTTGAAAGTAACTTTTAGGGAAAAAAAAAATCATAAATCGATTTATAAAAGTGTTGTAAAATAACTTTTTTTTTAGAATTTAAACATGATTTTTATATTATGCATTAGTTAATATTAAATTATTATTTTTGTTTTTTAGAAGTTTGACAACGTGACTAAGGTAATTCTGGAGGAAAATGGTGACCTGGTTGGTTTAATTAGATATAATTAGATGAATGGGTGGTGCATATAGCTACCAACACCCATAGCATATCCCTTTCACGATTGCAACTTAGCAAAGGGAGGAAACATGTGGAAGGGACAAATGAGAATGTGGAAGTCTTAACCTAATAAACATGTGACACGAATGAACAAAAGAGAATATGAAGGCAAAAGGAATAACAGTGATTGAGGATATCTTTTGCCCCCTTAAAATTATTTCTCTGTAAGAAAAACTTGTATACCTTCAAAGAAGCTGGTAGCCCCGACAAACTTAAAACAGTATTAATAATAACACCCTTGTTTTTACGTATTTTAAATATATTTTATCTTTTATATTACTATATAATTAATTTTCCTAAACAAATTTATTGCGTACAAAATTTCAACTAACAATGAAGACAAGAATGTTAACGAATATCCCTTTAAAACAATAGAAAATGAATTCATATATTTTTACATTTGTGAATACAAATGCTAAAACACTTCTTATCCATATTTTTAATATTATTATTATTATTTTTTTCTCCACTCTTTAGATGTATCACTTTTTTTTCACTCAATCTTATTACATTTTTTTCTCTTCTTTCTACTAATTTTTAAATATATAAAGCACAACTACTTTTCTATATTATATCTCTCTTTTTATAAATTATAATATGTTATTTTTTTCTTTTCGATCACATTAAAAATGATTATAGAAAGAGGAATCCGAATCCATTTTATATATAATATAGATTGAATTTTAAGAAAATTATACTTTTAATATTTATATTAAAAAACTTTTTTTATTGATAAAGAATTGAAGTAAATAATTTGCAGGGGAAGGTTGTTTATAGCGAGACAAATATATACTTGGAGCTTGTTTGGTTGAGGGACCCAGACGACAACACCCAAACAAACCAAAAAGTATCGTTGTTTTTTCTTTAATTGAATAAAATTATGTATTTAAACAACTACGTAAACAAATTTGGTAAGAGTATTTTAGGTATGTAGTTAAATATGTAGTGATCTCGAATTAAAATATTATCTCACATAGTTTGATAAAGAATGTTATCGTTTTTAATATTTTCATCTTATTCTTTTTTAATGATGGTAAAAATAAATTATAAAATTATAATTAAAAAATAATCAGAATCTATATTTAAAAAAGTTAAAAAAATAGTAATCAAAATATTAAAAAAAATTAGAATAAAAAAATTATATAAATGAAGAGTGAAATGAATTGTGTACACTAAAAAACCAGATCATTCAATTAAATCCCTTTTACTAATAGTGTAAATAATGTTTGTTATTTTAACTATATAGAAAAGTGAGAAAAATATATAGGATTTGTTTGGAAATACTAAAATAACATAAAACATTTTTCAAAAATTAAAATTAATTTATATATAAGTTCAAGAAATTTTTTACATACTAATTAATAAAGTAATTTTTCTTCTCTTCTATGGAAAAAACACGATATATTATTATATTAAAAGATAGAACAAATTTATGGAAAACAATGTTGTTGTTTAATTAAAATTATTATAGGATAATATATTTATTTATGGAGCATTACGTGGCAAAGTTTGGGTGGTGGAGTGATGATGCAGTTCAGAGCGTTGATGCAAGTGACGCGTAGTAAATCGCTCTCTCCCTCTCTCTCTCTCTCTCTCTCTTCACAATCCGTGTTTTCAGACGCTACACAAATCCATACTGATTTCTTCTCTCTCTGTTTTCATCTATCTATCTGTCCCTCTTTTCCTTCAAATCTTGCATCTTATTTCCACTTCCTCTTCTTGTTTCACTTTAATCATGTCGTTATTCTCTCTTATTTGAGGTCACAACTTTCTCTCCCTTCTCTCTACTCAATTTTATCTGTGTTTATTTTTTTCTGTATTATTTTTGGGTTTTTATTTGTTATGCATTATGTGGATGTTTCAGCTAAAGGGGTTTTATTATGCTTTAATTATGTGAAGCGCTGCTAGTTATTTGTGTCAATTTTGCGTTATGAATAAATTAGCACAGTGTGTGTTGAATCATAATTGTAGTTTTGTAACGCGTGACTGTCTTCTTAGGATATTTAAATCATAGAATATTGTTATGGAAGCTTACTCTTGTCTTGTACTTTATAACCTGCGTGATTTCTATATAAGTTATTGAGAAGCAACTTGTTTAGAAAGAGTTTCTTAGTGGCTTAGCTTGAGGGTTGTGTACTGTATTAGTCATTATTACATTACTGGATTGGTCTGAATTATGCAGTTACAGAAAATGTTTGCTTAAAATGAAAGGACATGTGGTTCCAAGGATGTTAATTTAGACTTTAATCTTGGTTTGCAAGCTGCTGCTCTAGTATTGTTGCATGTAATGCTGTTGTCCATTTAACTTGATAAGAGTATTGGGATTGGGAGCATCACTCGATTATAGTTGTAGAGCCAAGGAACTTGTAAACCTCACACCAAAATACTATACCTCCAATGTGGAACTCAAGCCTCATATCTTGCAATTAGATCCTAACATAACACCATGCTCCACGGTCACAGTGCCCATGCAGATCACCTTTTCCCTGACCCTTCAACTATTCCTTTGAAAACATTGCAATGCTTAAGTTGTAGCATGTTTGCAACCAAGAGAGATGGTGAAAAACTTAGCTACTAATTGATGAGAAAAATCTTTGGAAAATTACACCATTAGAGTTAGCTGTTGTTAGAGATCTCGTGGGACTCGTTTCTCATTTCTTGCAATTGAATCCCAACATCTCACCATTCTTATGTGTCGGTGTGCCCAGGCGGGTTGGTTGTGCACTAGCCCTTTGACTAGTCTCCAATAAATATTGAAATGCTCAGGTCACTAGCCACACTGCTCGTTTGTGGCTGAGAGACATGGTGAAAATTTTGAACCAATTAATAGCAAGCGATGGAAGAACTATACAAAAGTTTGTTGTATTCCCTTCACTAAGATCCCATATTTAAATTGGGACTCAGGTCCAATACCCTAGTTCAGTTAGATCCTAACAGAAAGAACTGCATATAATAATTTGATTTTTTTTATCTATATGTATAGGAAGAAGTTGTAGAAGACGTCCATTTGTTAATTTGTCTATAATGAGTATTTTGATAGTAATCTCCACATGTATTATTTGTAATTTCAATATATGTCACTACTTGCTAACATTTACCTGGTTGCAGCATAGGATTATAATTTGCAAATGATCTTTTTAAATTACCAAATATGTGTGAATTTTTGTTGCAACTTAAGAAAGTTCTGTAGATTCAGTACTCTCCCTTAAAAATCATTGAAATTAGAATCAG